AAGGAAACTAACGCCTATGGATGATATCCCAATTTAACCACTTATTAATCTCTCTTCTAAATGCATGTGAAAATGTAATGAAGGAATCTAATATGTTATAATTGGATTTTTCATGGAATAGCAAAACTGATAAACTGAAAAGAAACATTGTTCATCCAGATTATTGTAAAGGTGGCTTAAAAATGTATAAATTTAGATTAGGATGGGTAAGAAGATTGTACAGCACTAAAAGTAAATATATTTTAAAGAAGGATAATGCTATTGATCTTTTATTGAATGCTGGTTGTAAATAAATATTAAAACGTAATAGCTTATGTACAAATAAGTTTTGGGAAAATGTTTTCATAAAGAAATCATTCTTGATGAAGTGCATTTGGCATAATAAGATATAACTTTCGCAGGTAAACCTATTTTCTACAAATCGTGGTATAGATCAGGCATACATACGATTGCAGATCTCATAAAAGATTCAGACAATATTTCTTTTTTTTTTACATTTGAAGAACCTTCACAAAAATATCACTTGCGTACACATTTTTTCGTCACGTCCAAGGACTAATATCTGCAGTTCGCAAATGTCTGCCTGACCCTCTACCTCAAAATATTTTTCCAGTTATTCACCCGTTCCTACCTCAAAATATACAGACTTTGCTCAACAGTATCAATGATCTCCATTTTTTAAAAACATCATCAACAAAGCACATACAGTAGCCACTGGTCAATTCAAATGGCAAGAACATATTTTTTCACTGACGGGAGAAAAATGGTATAAAATACACAAAATTCCATACTCCAAGTTATTCAAATTAGGTATAGTAGTTTATCCTATATGTAATTTCTGTAACTTCATTCAATCTGATAGTTTATAGTAAAAACGAAAGCCTGGCAGTTTGCCAAATATGTGTCTAATAACAACTTTCTTGTGTTACTTTTCACATCTCTCTTTGAATATGTTTTCCACATCTCAAGCTCTTTCTTATCTCTTAGTTCTCTTTATAAAGAAATTTATAATGTTAAACTTAAGCAATTATAGAAATGAAATCAACATCACACCTTTGCCCATCACGTTCTTTCTTTCTTTACTCAATTTTTCTATATGCAATTGTGAGTAGTATGGGTTTAAAAAAATAAGAAAAAAATCATGCTTGAATTAACTGTGTGCATATGTGTGTGTATGTATGTACGTGTGTTTGAGAGAAGGTGTATCTGTATGTGCGAATCATAGTGAGAATACAATATATATTATTGTCTGTGCTCTTATAATATGTATGTATATTTTCCAAATGATTATCTGATTGGCTGAACGTTAAAGGTTTATATACAACCACCTGTTTTTAAATTCTTGATGCCTATATTTCATTTGTATTTCACAGTTTAGTTATAACACTACTATCTATATATATGAAAATAAGGAGGGGTCATAGTGTCAAAACATATATCTATGTACATTTTGATACTTCTTCCGATTGAGTTTAGTTGTGTTCAGTCACCTCATGGGTTTCCGAGTTTAGACCCTTGATGAGATCTACATGAACGGAGAGGTGGCTGTATAATACAGTGTAAGTCATAATCCTTCGTCCCGATTTGTACTATTCTCTCTTCTCTACAATCTTATTCATCTTGTGTACCCTCCTGACCATTTACAATGTTACTTATTGATCATATCTGTTATATGTGTCCATATTCCTTTTCATGTTTTCTGATATACATTCTGTGTTTGACTGGCATACATTCTGTGTTTGACTGACATACATTCTGTGCTTGACTGATATACATTTGACTGACATACATTCTGTGTTTGACTGACGTACATTCTGTGTCTGACTGATATACATTCTGTGTTTGACTGACATACACTCTGTGTTTGACTGATATACATTCTGTGTTTGACTGACATACATTCTGTGTTTGACTGATATACATTATGTGTTTGACTGATATACATTCTGTGTTTGACTGATATACATTCTTTGTTTGACTGCTCTGTATAACATTTAGTGATACTTCCCACACAAGGCGATTATACTGACTTATCATAGCAAAACCGGTAAGGGAGTGTTTGTTCGATAAGAAATAATTCTCCATCAATCTTTCGAAAGTATCTACTATGTGCACCACATAACCTGACATTTTTACCAGCATCCTCGAAGAAAAGATCATTTTGGCGTTACTGAACAAAGGACATAAATGTCCACTATTTCATATTCCGCTTTTGGCTAAAACATTTTCAAGCTCTCTAAGTGACCGTAGCACGTCTGCCTGTGCCTTGCTGCAGGCTGTTATTCCTAGATGACCACATTCATGGCGTTGTGTTGTAGGTTTCCATTCCAGTAACAAATGTCCGAGAAACATAATGACTTCCTCTGACAATGTATCAGTATAAATGTCTATATATTGGATATTGGGATTCTATCAGTAGAAAAGGGACATATGATAAAGCGGATGTGACGAACAATCTGGATTGAGATGGCTATATTTAATTATGAAATCATTAGCTGCGTCCGTTATCGAATCTGTATCATTTGTGACGCTTAATTATTTTCTCATCAGGAAGCTTATTATCAAACGTCCATCTGACATTGCTGGTAGATGGCCGATTTATTGGGAGATGGTGTGGTCAAGTTTTCACAGAGAATATATATAAGCAAGATGACAGAAATCTACCTTAAGTTGTTTATTTGTTTATTTTATTCAAATCATCTTGAATGAGCGAAAACATGCCCAGTAACAAAAGGAAGAATAGTTCAGGAATACAGGAATATACAGCTGACAATTGTCTTATAAAAACCTATTTTGGTTTCCTAAATGCTATTTCCAAGTCAATATCATTTTAAGTGTAGTATTGATGTTAAAGCTGTTATATATTTTTCTTCCATCTTAGAAAAGTTTTTTTTTTATATATAGCAGCTTTAAATACAGGGGTTCGTTTCAACGGTATTCACGCATGATTTTTGTATCTGAAAATATCGTACTTTCTGTGTTTCAGAATTAGAATATACAAATGTAGAACAGATCTTGGTTTACATTCGTCATTTATTCAACGTCGAACTACCTTGGTTTTCACAAATGCCTTTCATATTAAGCTTTAATGGTTGAGTCGCTCCGCAAGATTAATTACCTGGTTTGGGTCATTTCAAGGTCGTTTAATTTCGAATATGTCTTAAAATTGTTACCCATGCAATTCTTTTTTCCTTTTTTAATTTTTCAAACAATCAAAATCAAGTCACTTCATTTCATATGTACGGCACCTTTCACTTATGTTTCACGAATTTAAATAATAATATCTCTGATTTGTGTTAGTTTAACATGCAATAGCTCGTGACTGACCTCCTGAGTGGAGATAAGATCTGCACATGTAAACATGTCACGCGCTACAAATTGGCTATCATAAAGTAAATCGTGTTCCTGATTATCAGAATGATGCCAAAAAAACAGTGTATTGATAGCCGGTTTTCATACTAAGTCTCGTGCATATCTATAATAAGATCCATAATTCTGAACCTGATCCAAGATAAGTGTCGGGAAAAATAGTTTGCATGAACAAGTGTCAAGCTAGCATGTGCTGTATATTCTAGAGTAAAACACACAATCAGAGAGCTTTATTGGCTCGGTCTGGTTCTTTAAACAGTACATACAGATATATAGAAACACGATCTGTCTAAACTGGAGTATCGGTTTATGATTAATTGTTAGAAGTAAACCATTACAATAGAGAAACGATTTATTAATTCAATGTATTGGTAGAGATAACTTCTACATGAATATGTTGTACAGATTCAGAGACAAGTAGTAAGAGTAAATAAACAGACAAATAGTATCCAGGCTTTAACATCCATTATCTCTGAGAAAAATGTTAACGACGCAGTGTTATTATTTAATTTATTTAACAATATCTAATTAGGATAAGATAACCTGTGTATGTTTTGAACAACCTTCTTGTCTGCAGGAAATAGACACTACTGGTGGCTGTTTTGTCCCAGCTACTTGCCATAACCTGATGTTCTTCTCAAATATTTGAAGTTTACGAAATTTTATGAATGGTCGCATATTCACCTTTTGGATATTTATTTAGATCTTTTTTTATACCTTTCATTTGCCTCCCAGTTTCCTTTTTTGCGTCCTTAGCATCAACATCTGTATTCATTACAACTGATTGCAACTGAATCCATTATTTGGTTCTAGGATATCTCTGATTCTAGATTTGTATCTAAGTATGTTTTATTGATTAAGAAGTGTATTTCACGACATTGTATAATCAAGTAGTATGCATAGCGCTTAAGTGTTTAACCAAACGATGAAAAAAGTTATGTATACGGTGATGAATTCTTCGGGTTTAGATTTTAAATTACCTTTAATTGACGATTTTTGGGTGTCACATATCAAAGTTCATGTGATGCTACATTAAATAGGATTTCAATCACTCAATTAACAATAAATATCAAGTTTATGAATACGTACATAAATAATCCACACCTAAGTTCACATAACATCTCTGTTTGTTATCTGGTTTTCCTGTAAAATAGCATATAGTTCGGAACATCTTTCCTTATTGACCAGTAAGATTTTGTTTGTCAATCAGGATCCGCTATCTGATGTGTACTTCCGTTAAATGATAAAGTGATAACATACATTATTAAGACAGCTAATCAGATCTCAGGATATAATTCATTTTAACTGCCTTTTGTAATGACTGGAATATCAATCCCAGGGAAACCTGTTCAGGTGTTCAATCCATTACTTCTATACTTCAACAAGGAAAACAAGACATCAATCGATATCAATGTATTTCAAATTAAGATAAATAGCATGGCAAGTCGTGCTTATATCTATGTTATTTATGAAATAGCGTTTCCGTTTTAGATGGTAGAATTCTGACTTAAATAATCGAATGTTCTATAGTGTGAAAATAAAACAAGAAATTTTAGGTTGGTCTGTACTGTTACTTTAGTTCGATAGATAATATAGATAGTAGTAAGACTAGTGTAATGGTTTTAACGTACGTGTTCTCCACCAGAAGGTCTGGCGTCCACACCTCGTTTCTTGATACCAATATTTCAGTTAGGTCTCCGTACTTTGTTTTATTCCAATGTAAAAACTCATCGTGCCATGTCTACAATACAATTAATAACAAGATCAAACTTAAATCCATGAGCTGTTTTAAATAACATCACTATGTTGCACAAAATAATAACATCGTAACGTATTGATGAAATATTTAACATTTGTGACTGCTTTGACATAATCATTTCCTTTATTATTAATGATACCTATACAAAAATCTAAAGAAATTTCATGTGAGGTATCGGTTGTATCGATTAGTTCATCGCTCATAATCTAGGTTACATAGTAAATGAAAAGGGTGTTTAAAACAACTATTAAATACACGTTCTGTGTTTAATACTATACAACTGTGTTGATGATGTAATAGAAATACTTACTATTCTTAGCCACGCGTTTGTCGTCAAAACCTGGTTTTTCAAATCCTGAAATTAGAAAACATTATAAAGAAATAACATCAAATTTCTGTTTCTTTTCAATCATTTTTCAAAACAATATTTTTATTTGTTTCCAATAAGTCTCGATGCGGGGCATTAAATAATGCACCGTCTAGATCATAGTTAGATATTGATGAAATGAGTGCTGGAGAGGAAATATTATTTTTTCTTGACTTAATTGCAATTATAAATGTCCAAAAATCAATTGTTATCAAATAGACTGTCAAAAAACCTTTTAAATATGATTTCTCGTATCGAATGGGTGAGGGGTAAATCTGCTTTGAAATACATAGACAAGCTGCTATATATAAAATAGTGAAAGAGCATGACCTTTCAGATATGCAGGACAAACTGGAACACATAGTTTGGTCAATATTCTATTATCTAGTGTTGTAGATTAGATATGTCTATCGATTTAGTAGGCATGACACCTTGAGCCGCTACTTTCAATATATTCACGAATACAGTGTATACAGATTTTCGAAAGTGGAATGCAATGCGCGGAACAAATCGCCCTGGTTCTCTTTTCAAAATCTTTTACAAAATTGTACGAATACTGACACAAAGAAAGCCTTCATTGCTGAGGTCTGCAGCTCTGATTAAATAATTGTTCTGGGACACAGGGGATTCACCATCATAAAGATCTGATAGTTTTTTGACTTGGAAGCATCGCGTGAATCTTATCCATGTCACATGGAAGCTTGATTAACATCTTCAAATGAAGGCGTTTTGTTCGTTATATGTGTCATTGTGGTTTTTAAATGTAAGACAGGTTTTGTTAAATGTGTTAAGCTCGTGTTAGTAAAGACTCGTAAGTATAGCATAGCTGCTCTAAACCTCTACAGTTTATATGTGTACAGTAATAAAGTATGGCCACACATAATCTGTACATAATGTAATGGTTTTGTAGGTTCAATAAAATAGATAATTTGATCTAGATATATATTCGATGTCATGTATGTAGTATGACGGATAATGTTCACGATAATGTAATTAACATATTGTCAGACGTTACGCATTATCTGGGTAACACAAAAAAAGCGTTCAGTTAAGGGAACATTCGTAAATGAAAGGTTTGCTAGATTATTCTTGCTTTATAAAGAGTCTACGTCATTTAAGGTCAAGCCAGGCTTGGGTGCAGTGGAGGAAAGCCTGGACAAAAATCACCGACTTGCTACCCAGACGTGGTGGGCCACTGATAAAATCAGTCAGTCGCTTTAACCATGCATTCACGGATCCCAATAAACGAAAGAATGCTTGTAGTAATGTGCAATCCGATATCAAATAATCGGCAATTACTTGCAGTACCGTTCGAGTGTGAATGGCTGGTACTCTGATAACGCCATTTTGTATATCTTATGTATAGTCACACTATGTGATGATATAAGTAGATGTAAGAGCCTTGATATGTATGTCTTACTTATCTTTTGTACAGGTGAAAAGTGAAAAGAGGAAGTGTTATTATTATTCATTATGAGCGTTGTGAAATTATGTTTCCAGTAAATGTGACTTTCGCCTAGAAAGTACCTTAAAATTTATTAAATTAAACAAATAGAAATGTATGTTTTCTTTTATATCTTGTTGTTGTGCACGCCAAATAACCACGTGTCATTGAGATTAAATAATGGTATATACGATGAATGTTACATGGTTCCCTGTTGCATATTTAAATATTAGATTATATACTTGTATCTCATACAGTAGATTGTAAATGTATGTGAACCGTCTCGTGCATGAACCCCTTACTAATAATAGACGTATGGAAATCTAAGCAACATTTACAATATAGCAGGATAGATGTACCGTCAATCTATCTAGTAAATATGTAATATTACTACAATGCAGACCATTCAATATGTGCATTTATCCTTAAACGACCGACTAATTGTTTGGACTTAAGACAGCAACATTAGCTGCAAACGCTTCGCAAATGTAAGTCAATAATTCGTTTAAAAAAGGGGAGGGGGCATATGTTATCGCCTTCAGTTGCTACAAGAATTGGCCGAAAAATCGATTCCTATGGAGCAACGATACCTATCTTTTTTATCTTTTTTTAGCTAATGAAATCCCATTTAAAAGGTTTTAAGAAAAAGCCAATGAAATGCAGGTCATTGAACTTTTGAATTGCCATCCAAAATCGATACATTGATTGAAGAGATGCATACAGTTTGTACACCATACATAATAATGGGCCCGATTGTCTTAGTATTGATCTCGTCTTCAATGAGGAAAATTACATCTCGAAATAGTTGAAGAAATGCTATAGTATTCAAACTGGTTGTGTAGCTTTCTCATCAATTAATTTGAAAACGTAAATGATTCTGCGAAGCAACTGCATTATTTGTAAAAGAAATTTATCATATACACTACAATGTGAATGTTTAGACACTTTTGTAATTTATCTGCAAACGAGACGGGATAAGTAATTTTTACTCCGAAAACGGAGGTCGATGTTCGCTGTTTTACATGATGTTAAATAGATGAAATCAAACAAAAATAAACTCAGAATCAATCGAGGAATTAAAAATAACCAATATCACCAAAAACAAAATATCAAATAGGTTTTTAAATGATACAAGTTTATGCATTATATCGACAAGGAGAAAAACTCTCTTCCCAAGAGATTCTAAAACGTCCAGGACTGCGATTGATGTCCTATCATGATGGATGAGATTTTAAGTCGTAGATAATTATATTGTGTCCTCACAATCCCGTTTTGCTGATGCAGCTCGTTTTAGGGATTGGCATACCGTAGATGTTACGTACGATTGAACAGGACACGCACTTCAGTGTGACAAACATCGCAAACTCAAGGTGTAACAGATTCGCGTAAACCACGTACACCAATTCCTGTGTACTCCATCATATTCAGCATTATTAACATCTGTAATTCCTGAAGAATGGGGTGTTTGTAGGAAGTACTTGAATGCTACTTATTTTAACATGTTAAACAAGCATTTTAGTAACGTTACTGATAAGACAAGGAAATAAACCCTAAGGAATACAAACCAGTAAAGTTAGAACCTGTATTATAGACGAACTAATAGGATAGGTAACTAACAGACACCATTGATAAGATGGCTTTCCCATTTACAAAATCTTTTCAAAATACTGAAAGCGATTGCATCGTGAAAAAAAAATAACAGAGAAAATCACTGTGTAGAAACCAACAAGAAAGCATCAGCATGGCAATAGAACTATAATCTAAACTCAAATTTAATCAAAACAGAGCAAATTTAAACAAAAGAAATATTTAAACGGAGACTCTTTTAAAAAGTACAAGGGGAATAAGGACAGGTGTTCCGGAAGAGTAAGCGTCTTTTGCTTCGTCGGAGACACCCGCCATGTAAACATTGGTCCATCAAGTAAGTAATGTCACGTTTTTAAATGAGAACAAGGTAAAGAACAACTAACGAGCGTTGAATACGTCCAGCTTCATATCGCAATAATTCTAGCTCTGTGTCCAGCAAACGTGAGTAAAAGATGCTCACATATATTAACATGGACACCATGAAAACGAATTAGACAATTAGTTTCGGAAGGGTCAGCGTCTTAGGCTTCATGGGCGAAATTTGACATTCATATCGATGTGAAAAAAAGATGCTGCAATGAAACCATCCTATTAAAGTTTTTTTGTTCCGATATATCAAATGCATGAATTGATCAGTTGCACTGCATTGAACAATAATATCCTATTTGTTATATTATAATTTCTGTGAATTACTGATGGAATGAAACATCTTAACGTAAATAAGGTTTTAATAACAGTATTGGGTTAAATATATATTTTTTTGGTTACATCTTTCTTTTATAATATATAAGCCAATACAATCCTAGTTTAATCGGAGGAAAAGTAATATATTAATCAACATCCAGAAAGTAGAACAGCAATTTTTCTCTTTACCTTTTATGGTAACCAACGTGCAAGACTTCAAACAACAATGCAATGACGTCACGTCAGTAATTTTAACGACAAAGGTACATACATGTAGAGAAAAACGCCATCAGGGAAAGAAAAACGTAGTTTTTTGTGAATCGGGAGCATCCCTTAAGATTCTCATAGACAATCGGTCAGTTTATATGCAAAATATTCCCATTAATTGTATGTATGATAAGTGAATATGTGAGGTCTTACCTCACGTTTATGTTAATCTTAATTGTTATCCGTCATTCCCTTAGGTTAAGACAATTGTGTTTGGCACCTTAACGATTAATGCAATAATTTTACAAATAAACTTGTTTATTATATAACGCCAGTGCCAGTAAATTGACCTTCTCGATCGTTCTTTTACAAGTTTTCTGTTTCCTTTCTGATATAGTTATCTAGTAAATTATCCTGTTACTGAAGTGGAGGTCCCATATTATTGTTAATTGATGTTTCCTGGGTAACGGTTATTTAATATTTTGTCAACGAAGTCACAGAACCAAATTTTAATCCGGTAGCATTTTGTATCATCAAACAAAACACAATGCAGATTTATCATCTTTATTCTGGTTTAGGAACGGGCATCCGCTAGCTCTGATTTACAATGTAGTACTATGGTGTTTCGAGAAGTGATAAATTATGTTATTTTCCGAAATGTCAGATACTGCATAACGATTCGTTTTCTTTGTTATTGTTTACGTCCTATTAACAGCCTGGGTCATTTAAGGACGTGCCAGGTTTGGGTGGTGGAGGAAAGCCAGATCCGACCTTCGGCCAGTGCCTGGCGATGTAGACCTACATCATAAATGTCTAAATGACAAAAATAGATAACAATGAAGTCTTCACTGTCCAAAAATCAAAACTGAAACAGAATTTCGTTTTTCCTTGATATTTCTTTCACAAATTCATTCAACATGTTATATATCTGTAGCATTAATTTGAACATGTCGAATATCCGGATAGACACTTTAATTAGTAGCTAAATGTTACGGTCCCCTGATAGAAGTAGTTGTATCTGAACCCTTGTTCTCGAAGATGGAAAGACTATAGAAGAATCAGTAAG